TATAGGGTTAAGTTATAATGTGAATGACATCTATTGTGTGGTTGTAAGGAAAATTTTGGACCAACGGATTAAAAGAATGAATGGTTTTGATCTTAGGGTCTATGTTATTATTATGGAATAATATGTACCATACCATGTGAGTCTAATATTTATATATCGTTTTTAGAAGCATCATAATAGCATATGATATGAAGTATATAGTGTGTGTGAGTGATTTCAGTGAGGTGACTTTGAAGCCAAAACTGAGAAGCTGGTTGAGTTATACAAGCTTTGAAGTTTTTTATGGCAATGAAGAACAAGCAGCAGGATATCTTTTTAGGGGCTGATTGTGTCAGTATAGTTAGATCAATGTGTACATTGTTGTAACATTATTTCTGTGGGGATCAGTTGATAGAGAGATCTTTATGGATCGTTTTTCCAACTTGCGTGATTAAAGTCATTGCTTTTGTTATTTTTCTTGCTATGATTACTAAACCAAACACGATTTTCAACAAACATAAAAAAAGGATGAAACAATGTCCAAGCTGGGGTTACTAGTCAAATCAGTTGACATCCAATGTTTTTGGACATAACCGACCATTGGATGATGAATATTGTTAACCAATCCAACTGAAAATCACAATGTATCTTTGATATTTGCTATTTTTGTTATCCAATTACAACCAATTATTAATATGCATTGAAAGCAAGACATGGCATATAAGGCTCTGAAGAACATAAAGTGGCTGATTTCAGTCTGAAACATGCAAACCAACCAACAGCTGTATCTGGAATTCTAATGTGTGTGAATATGGTACAGCACAAAGCATACAGCTACAGGTTTTATAGCAGGTGCAAAAGAACAAAACAATTTCCATATGATAAAGATAAATTATAAGCATAAAGATAAAGCTAATAAAAAAAAATAGGGAATTCAATATATTGATGACAATTTAAATTTCCTTACAAACCACCCAAAACTGAAAGGATGCATGATCCTGTCTTGTTATATATGTATCAAAAAGAAACATATAGATAGATCGATGAGATGGAAGTTGGAAGTCAAAACCTCTCAGCTAATCTTGCAGTAACAGTTCTAAGTTTTGAATATACTTTCCCTGCAGGGGATCCTAAGATAAGGCTGCACAAAGAGTCTCTAGCAACTTTGATGTTGGCAAAGGATCCCAATATGTGAATCTTTGTGTCTGCAATAACAATCCGAGTCTTTGTTGAATTCTCAATTGCAAATTTGGTTTTACCTCCTTTACCAGACAGCCTTCCAATGGCACGAGACAGATGCTCTCCTTTAAGGGTCTTAACGTCTTTAATCTCAAAGGAATCAACATAAAGCTCATCCATTCGCAGCAATGCAACTGCATCTATCACATCAAAACCAAGCATGAAAGCATGCACAAAATCTGCACACTTTTGAAGGTTACTAACATCTGGGGTGTCACGCCTCGTCATCAATTCAACATTTCGTGTCTTCACATTCATTCGGATGTCAACCTTCATCTGCTCATACACTGGACTGTATATGTCCATCCATGCTTTCTTCAGTGGGGTATACCTGTGTTTTGGAACAGATATTTTCCGGAACTGAACTTGCCCATCCGATATCTCATGAGCTGTCAAAGCCTTAAACTTGGGCTTTGCTACAACCTTACTTTCACTTTCTTCTACTTCCATGGAACTTGTTCCTTTGTTCGTTTGCATCCTGCACCTATAAACCAATACCAGACACCAGACACAAGTAAACAAACTATCAATTTTCAAAACCCTAAAAACTCATGAGCATAAACGTTTATGTTTCATATAAAATCGACTGAGAACATAACACATACTTGGAATCGGATTTATGGTTACAATCAAATATATAACGAGCGAACCAGAAATACTTACGGGATTTAATGCGATCGACGAGAATTAGAGAATTATGCGGCAGGGGGTTCAGCCGCTGTGAAAAGGTTGAGGGTTTTGGGAGTTGAAGACAGACGTATTCTTTGAGGGTTTCTGGTATTAGGTTATTACTTATGTCTATATAATGGGCTCTTTTAAAGCCCAATCAACTTGAAAGCTTAATGGGTTGTGTGTTTCGGTTTGTGTTTGTTACTTTAATCTTAATCTTGTTTTTACTAAAATCTTTTATCATTAAAAAAAAACATTCTCGTAAGTCATAACATGATGATGTAAACCAGAAAATCATATCCAACCGAATCAAAAGTTTTCATTTTGCGCGTTACAAAAAGATTTCAAAACCAAATGAAGATGGTTATCTCGGTTCTGTAAGAAACTCAATCATTAGTTAGTTTATGTGTGGATTGTCGAGGAAAACTTTGAAATGATAATCATACATCATATCATACATACTTATAAAGCTAGCATTTTTTCTTGAACCTCATTCATTTGAAATTCCCATAAAAATTTACAAAACACCACATGCATTTGAAACCTTATATTTTAATGAATACCACTCAAAAGTCTCTTAATAATGATTAACAATTCAAAG